TGTTTTAAAGATACCTGTTTTGCTCCATAGCCACCTGTTTTTTTTGTCAGGAAAGTTGGAGTATCAGGGAAGTGGGAGGTGAATGAAAGAGACTGAGAGATAGCGAAGTGATAAATGAGTGATGTATGGGGGTGTAAAAGCAATTCTGCGTCTATGAAGATGCTTTCAGCCTCTCTGTGCTGCTGTTGCCATGGACGTGTATTAAGAGGTCATTGGATTAATTATCCGAGCTATTACAGGCCGAGCTATTAGAGGACAATTACTTACTCTAATTTAGCAGTGTAGGAGAGCTGGTATACGTGTGCACGATGACTGTCAACACTCACACATAGAAAGAGTCTTACTCTGCTGTGCTTCTGTGTTTTTCAGGAAAAGTTCACTCAAGTAGATATTCTTATTTTGATGACAGCAGCTGTGTGTCATGACCTGGATCATCCTGGGTACAACAACACGTAAGATCCTCCATCCTTCAGAACCGCGTATATACACTGACTTTTATATTACCGCTCAGAAATATTTCTTACCATCCATATATATTTCTACTATTAGCCTTAAATATTTATTTTGCATTATTTATATTTACTATATCCTTTTTTCTACTAGAATTTAATACTTTTATTCAGCAAGGATGCGATAAATTGATCCGTTTTGGCAGTAAAGTCATTTCTAATGTTACAAATGATTTGTTTCAAATAAATGCTGTTCTGTTTTACTTCGTATTCATGAAAGAATCTTGGGGGAAAAAAGATCAGTTTCCACAATTCCCCCCCCCACATTTCCATGCACAACGTTTTCAACATTAAGAATAATACTAAATGTTTCTTAAACAGTAAATCAGCATAATAGAATGATTTCTGTGTGACACTGAAGAGTGGAGTAATGATGCTGAAAATTCATCTTTGTATCAGAGGAATAAATTACATTTTAAAATATATTCAAATAGAAATCTTTAAAAAGTTATTTTAAATTTATTGTATTAGTTAAATTTATAATACTTCACAATAGTATTATTTTTACTGCATTTTATCAAATAAATGCAGGCGAACATAAGGGACTTTAAAAAAAACAAACAAAAAAAAACAACTTCAATGATTTAAACAGTAGTGCATATGTTTTTCTCCCTACATTTATTTGATTAATATACAGTAAAATACAGCAGTGATGTTCAATATTATTACAATTTAAAATAATTGTTTTTCATTTTAATATATTTTTAAATGTTTGTTTGTTTGTTTAAATAATTTGAAATTATTCCAAAAATGTGAAATTACTGGAATCATTTCAAATTATTTAAACACACACACACACACACAAATTGTAATAATACTGCACAGTATTGCTGTATTTTAATCAAATAAATTCAGCCTCAGTGAGAATAAGAGACTTCTTTCAAAAATATACAAAAAAATTGTACAACCCCAATATTTTGAAAATTGAGATTTTTTTCCTTGCACATTTAAGATATCTATATTTATATTATAGATATCTTAAATTCGAGTCATTGTGTTCCACATATTCCACTTGGACACCAAATCCAAGTACTGTAGAGTTTGTATTTGCATTTGGCACCTGTCGAATGTTTTGGACCCTCTTTTGCAGGTATCAGATTAATGCGCGCACAGAGCTGGCGGTGAGGTACAATGACATCTCTCCTCTGGAGAACCATCACTGCGCCGTGGCCTTCCAGATATTCTCTCAGTCTGACTGCAACATCTTTGCCAACTTTGATCCTGAAGCCTTCAAACAGATTCGTCAGGTGTGCCTCAGGCCTTTAAACCGAGCTTTGTGCACGCATATGTAATACATTTGTCTTGAACAATGAATAATTTTGTCTCTGACAGGGAACCATCACCCTGATATTGGCCACAGACATGGCCCGACATGGAGAGATTCTGGACTCTTTCAAACAGAAAGTGGATAACTTTGACTTCACTAATGAGGAGCATGTTACTTGTGTGAGCTTTCTGAACCCATTTTACAGTGCCACTTTTCACCTACGAAAAAGTGCTGCGATGAGCTTATTAAACTTGTATCTCTATATCTGTGGCAGCTGAAGATGGTGCTGATCAAGTGCTGTGATATCTCTAATGAGGTTCGGCCGATGGAGGTCGCTGAGCCGTGGGTGGACTGTTTGCTGGAGGAGTACTTCATGCAGGTACAGGTGCATCTCAATAAATTAGAATGTCGTGGAAAAGTTAATTTATTCCAGTAATTCAACTCAAATTGTGAAACTCGTGTATTAAATAAATTCAGTGCACACAGACTGAAGTAGTTTAAATCTTTGGTTCTTTTAATTGTGATGATTTTGGCTCACATTTAACAAAAACCCACCAATTCACTATCTATATCAGTATAAAAATGACTTACCATATAGGAAGTTGATGATTTGGGGTGCAATGTCATCTGCTGGTGTTGGTCCATTGTGTTTTTTTGAAAACCAACGTCACTGCACCCGTTTACCAATAAATTTTGGAGCACTTCATGCTTCCTTCTGCTGACCAGCTTTTTGAAGATGCTGATTTCATTTTCCAGCAGGATTTGGCACCTGCCCACACTGCCAAAAGCATCAAAAGTTGGTTAAATGACCATGGTGTTGGTGTGCTTGACTGGCCAGCAAACTCACCAGACCTGAACCCCGTAGAGAATCTATGGGGTATTGTCAAGTGGAAAATGAGAAACAAGAGACCAAAATATGCAGATGAGCTGAAGGCCACTGTCAAAGAAACCTGGGCTTCCATACCACCTCAGCAGTGCCACAAACTGATCACCTCCATGCCACGCTGAATTGAGGCAGTAATTAAAGCAAATGGAGCCCCTACCAAGTATTGAGTACATGTACAGTAAATGAACATACTTTCCAGAAGGCCAACATTTCACTAAAAATGTTTTTTTTATTGGTTTTATTTTATTGGTTTTTGTTAAATGTGAGCCAAAATCATCACAATTAAAAGAACCAAAGATTTAAACTACTTCAGTCTGTGTGCATTGAATTTATTTAATACACGAGTTTCACAATTTGAGTTGAATTACTGAAATAAATGAACTTTTCCACGACATTCTAATTTATTGAGATGCACCTGTAGATATGATTAAAAGTATGTTGTATGGAGATGTAAAAATCCGTCCCACTTTTTATTAAGTGTCTTTAAAGGAATAGTTAATCTAAAAATGCTGAAAATGTCCTCACCCTCAGGCCATCCAAGATGTAGATGAGTTTGTTTCTTCATCAGAACAGATTTGAAGAAACTTAGCATTATTTCACTTGCTCATCAATGGATTCTCTGCAGTGAATGTGTGCCGTCAGAATAAGAGTCCAAACAGCTGATAAAAACATCACAATAATCCACACCACTCCAGTCCATTAATGAATGTCTTGTGAGGTGAAAACTGAACGTTTGTAAGAAACAAATACATCAAGATGTTTTTAACTGTAAAATCCGAGTCCTCTATCCATAACATTGCTTTTTCTAGTAAAAATCGTCTCATCTGAATCAGGAGAGAAATATGCACAGATCAAACAGTTTACAAGTGAAAACGGTCTAAAACAGTTCTAAACAAATGTGTCTGTGGATTTTAATGTGAGAGAATAACAGACTTTTCCACTGGAGGAAGAGTTAGACCCGTTTTTTTGGTCAAAAGTGGCAGTTTAACATTGAAACGCCTTAATGATGGATGTTTTTTACAAACATAGCTTTTCACTTTACAAGACATTAATTGATGTTCTGGAGTGGTGTGGATTATTGTGATGTTTTTATCAGCCGTTTGGACTCTCATTCTGACGGCACCCATCCACTGCAGATGATCTATTGGTGAGCAAGTGATGCAATGCAAAATTTCTCCAAATCCTCTCAGATGAAGAAACTCGTCTACATCTTGTATGGCCTGAGTGCGAGTACATTTTCATTTTTTGGGTTGAACTATTTTTTTTTTTTTACTACTTTTTAAATATTTGTAACTGTTTGTTGTACTAACATTTAAAGTAATCATTTGATACAATGCACTTATTGTACTGTATGTTTTTACATTGTAATTTTATTTAAAAACCAACCCTTAAACCTGACCATACAGCAAAACCTCTCCATAAACGTATCACAGGAGTAACTTACATTTTAAAATAAATTAAATAAAAAGTTAATTCAAAAGTTATTAATAACAATTTTTTCCACAATAATACTGTTCATACTGTATTTTTATATAACTTTGGTGAGCATAAAAGACTTTCAAAAACATAAAAAAATAATACCAACCCCAACATTTTGATCTTTATAGTGCACTTCTTTCTTCATCAGAATTGTGTTCTCTCTCTCAAACAGAGTGATCGAGAGAAGGTAGAAGGTTTACCAGTCGCTCCTTTCATGGACAGAGAGAAAGTGACCAAACCCACTGCTCAGATCGGCTTCATCAAGTTTGTCCTGATCCCCATGTTTGAGACCGTGATGAAGGTGAATCGGTTAGGCTAAAAGTACAATGTGAAACATACAGGGGGGGAAGTGGGTGAAATCGAACTCTGGTTCAGATCAAACCAAGTTGTGAAAACTGGCCAAGATACCAGGTTGTGATATTGTTTGTTCTCTGTGCGTTGCAGTTGTTTCCTCAGATTGAGGAGGTAATGGTACAGCCCCTACGAGAGTCCCGGGACAGATACGAGGAGCTTAAACAAATAGATGACGCCATGAATGAGGTTAGCAGTGACCATTTTTTTTATTATTATTATTATTATTACTTTTTAACTGGTATTAGCTATTTCCTCCTCATTATCCCTATAGGTGCAGAAAAAGAAGAGTGAAAATTTAACAATGGGAGGAAAAAAGAAATGAGCAAGGTCAATGTTGAAACATTGTACTGTACGCATTTTAGTTATTATTTGTGTTATATTTACAGTCAACCCTAGCTTTTGCTTATCTGTTTCAGCTGGAATCCCAGTAAATGATTGAAATCTTGGCCATCTGCTCAGAAAATCCAAAGCATCTTTCAGGGAATTGAACCATGTACAGCTCAGCTATGAACCATTTGTGTCGTTTTTATTTGGTTTTTGTAAAAGTATAAACATTATACAGGATGTACAGATTTTTAGTCCCTTTTACTCAGAAAAATAAAAGTCTAACTTGAAGAACAACTGAAGCCACAGATCTCATTTTTAGAGCACTGTTATAATAAAATAGTATGTTCATTCCTGTTGTCTAATGAAACTGTACCAGGATGTGCGTGACAGCCCTGACTGTAGCTGAGCGGGACTGACCTCTTGTGGCCAAAGCAGAATACAGCACCTTACTGTTCAGAAAATAGACCAAGTAAAGCTTTACTGAATGAATAAAAAGTCATATAATCATTGTCGATTAACAAAAAGAGATGTATAATTATATGAACATCACAAAAAAAGCAGAAATTAAAATAAGACAACGTTCTCTCAGCTGGTGTTCTGAGGCACAGTGCTGCTCTCCGTTTTACTTCTCTTATTGGGTTTAGAGCCGTTTGCTGCTGCTGCTGCTCTCTTCCTACTCTCCTGTTCTAGTCTTTCCTGTTTCTTCTGCAAATATGATGCCATGTTGTCGAAGTTCACTTTAAACAGGTGTTTAAACGGACTCTCCAGTCCCACAGAACCTGTGAACGGAGGACAAGAGGAAAGCATGAAGTGTTCAGAATAAAGGTTGGAGGGGGGGAAAAAAGAAGATGGAACATTAACCCTATAAAGCATACTGTATTATATTTGCTACATGAGTTGACTATTATTTAATACAGGTTTGAGGGGTGATTTTATACATTTTTCGTCCTGAGATATTTGACCCTTTTCATTAGTCCTTCTGGTGTTACTTGTCTTCCTTCATATTATTTTGACAGGACCAGGTTGAGTTTATCAAAACTGAATTGGTGTCTGAATAAATTGTGATTTTTGCAGCTTTGTTTTGATAGATTTTTTTGGACTGAGGAGGAAGTTTTGAGTTCTGAAAGACTGTTTTTTCATACTGCTCAACTCAAGATCAAGCATACATTTGCTTTGTCATGATATGATTTCTTCATTTTAGTTATTGGTTTATTTCATTTTTCTGTTTCATTATAATGTTTGTTGGATTTCTTACCTTTAAAGATATTCCACTGAGCTTGTAATACTTCAGTGACCCTCCTCAGTTCAGGAGTCTCTGAGTCACACAGCTATGAACAAGCAATATGAGTTAGTAAGAGCAGAGCGGGCTTCAAAACATGAAAGAAAGCATGCATGTACCTTCCAGTGCTGCTCCGAGTATTGATACAGGAGCACATTCACGTCTTCAGTCTCCAGTAAGACCCACAGCTGCTTCTGTGAATCAAATGTCATGTCCCAGGGAGCATGAGGAAGAGCAAGAGTCTCAGCGGGGCTCAGACACCCCTCTGTCCCAGAATCCACCACGAAGAGCTGAACTGAGGGCAATCTACACAGACGGATATGATTTTAACTGTTTAGATGTATGATTGGTGTGCAAAAGACATCTTTCTTAAGACTTGTGTGTTTCTATTTTAACAAAAGAATACTGTTGTTGTCACCGAGACTCCAGAATCCAGTTAGAGGTAAGATAAACCGAAATCTGATGAAATGAAACACACCTCTCACACTGGACAGCTATATGTTTTCCATCTGGTGAGCTGATGATCCTGCTGACAGCAAACCTCTGAAGACAGAAAGAAATATAGTCAGTGTCATGTGCTGAGATTGGTGTAAATGACAAAATATACACACCTGGATTTGAATGGAAATAAACAGTTTATAGCAGCAGCTCTAAAGCTGCTGAACTTTAACAGAACCCAATAATCGAAGGCCCTCCATATAGGCTAAAATATTTCTTCTAGTAATTCTACTGTAATTATGAGAAATCTGTTTGTTTTATTAACACAAACTAGGTAGATATTTTCAATTAATCAGCCACAATTCATTTTGTGATTTAAAAAGTTGAGAAATGTATGTTCTTCAATAAAACAAAAGTTCTTGAGGGGGGGAAAAAAAAATCAAGATTTTTTTGCATATTAATTCAGTTAGATTATTTTGATACATAATTCAATTTGAAAATGTAATAATTAATTAATTCTAGGATCTTAGTGATACCAATGAAAATGGTAGATTTTATTAATAAAAACATTCAATAATATCATTAACAAATGTGACTCTGGAGCACAAAACCAGTCATAAGTAGCACAGGTATATCTGTAGCAAAAGCCAAAAATACATTGTATGGGTCAAAATTATCGATTTCTATTTTATGCCAAAAATCATTAGGATAGTAAGTAAATATCATGTTCCATGAAGATATTTTGTAAACTTAATTTTTGATTAGTAATATGCATTGCTAAGAACTTCATTTGGACAACTTTAAAGGCGATTTTCTCAATATTATGATTTTTTGCACCCTCAGATTCCAGATTGTTAAGTAGTTGTATCTCGGCCAAATATTGTCCTATCCTAACAGACCATACATCAATGGAAAGCTTATTTATTCAGATGATGTACATTACAATATTGTGAAATTTGCATATGAAAAATAAAGACAAACATAAATTACATAACCATATATTACATATATGTAAATTATCAAAATTATATGTTTTAATAATTAAAAACAAATTAAACTGCCAGACTTAGACCCCAGAGGTTCACAGACCTCCAGCTGAAAACCTTACATCTAGGTCAATAATGTAATTTTTGTGGGATTGTACGAAACATTGTATGCGTTGTGTGCATAATTGGCTGACTGAAATCAAATGGACGGCACCTTTTCTGTGTCTGTGTTTTCAGAGTCGAGGGTGAGTTGCCTCAGGTCAACACTGTGTAACCGCCGACCACTCTCATAATGCCAGACCTTCATTGTGCCATCCTGTGAACACAACCATGTCAGTCCTACTGTATTAAGACACTTATATCCCCCTTATAAACTATCCCAACAGAATATTACAGTAAAACAATGAAGGTAAACTGAAAAAGCACATACTCCTGAACCAGAGAGAAGCCAGTCAGGATGTCCCGCAGGCACAAGCAATGCACTGACAAATCTGCATGAGAAAACAAACATGTTTGAACAAGTGGGAACAACATATGTGACCCTGGAACACAAAACCAGTCATAAGGGTCAATTTTTAGAAATTGAGATTTATACATCATCTGAAAGCTGTATAAATAAGCTTTTCATTGATGTATGTTTTGTTATGATGTAACTATTTGAAAATCTGGAATCTGAGGGTGCAAAAGAAATCAAAATATTGAGAAAATCACCTTTAAAGTTGTCCAAATGAAGTTCTTAGCAATGCATATTACTAATCAAAAATTAAGTTTTGATATATTTACAGTAGGAAATTTACAGAATATCTTCATGGAACATGATCTTTACTTAATATCCTAATGATTTTTGGCATAAAAGAAAAATCAATAATTTTGACCCATACAATGTTTTTTTGGCTATTGCTACAAATATACCCCAGTGACTTAAGACTGGTTTTGTGCTCCAGGGTCACATATGAGATGTAACATCACTTGCTTCCCACAGTCCACACTTACTCTCTGTGCTCTAGACAGAAAGCCTGAATGTTGTAGGGTGACCGCCGGAAACTCACTCGGATCTTCTCATCTCGGTCGGCTGTTATGATATATTTATCATCAGGAGAAAGAGTCTGTAGAGGAAAACAAAAAAGAACTAAATATTAAACAATTTTTTTAAAGCTAAAAATTATATTACGTACTGACTTCACAATTAAGTGAAAACAAAAGAGAATTTTAACAATTTTTTGTTTGGGTGCTGCATTAACTCCCTGAATCAACAGATAGCACTTTAATAAAGAAATATTTCAGCCATCTAATATTTTACCATCTCTAGAGGTAAACACAAAAAGCTAGAAATCATGTTAGTTCATTAAGTAACTTCACAATGAAGTGAAAAAAAAATAAAAAATGAAATTCAAATATTTTTGTTTGGATACTGCGCTAACTGAGAAGCACTGTTCTGTTGGTGTCCATCATACCACATCCAATAACATGGAGAGATGTCCCAGCTTCAGCTCTCCTGGTTTTTGTGGCTCCAGAACAGAGAATGAATATACATCTCCAGACTTATCAGCCACAAAGACTTCATCCTCAGCCTGAGTAAATACAAGAGACGTGCATCGCCGCACAACCCACCTACAAGAGGACAATCACGGACTTAAACACTGAACCTTACAGAGAAATTAGTACCGAGGGAACAGTTCGCCCAAAAAGAATAATTACATCTACATCAGAATTTACTCATCCTTATGTTGTTCCAAACCCAAATGACTTTTTGAAAACTAGTATTCTAGCCACATTTTTCAGTTTTGATTAAAGAGAAATAGGTGAGTCCACAAAAAATGTGCGTTCCCCAAAAAAGAGAAACTTAGACGGGTTTGTAATGATATGTGTGATGGTGAGTAACTTTGAGTGTGTGCTGTTACCGGGTACTAATGCACTGCCACGATGGCTCAGTACAGAAGAGAACAAGACGTTTGTGGTCATCAGTGAGCGCTGCATGCTTCCCAGACGCTGAGACAGCAAATGCAAGAATCCTGTCACTGCCACTGTCCTTCTCCTCTGATCCTTCCCCAGCACTGCAATACACAGATAAACATTTTAAGATCTTTTTTTGCAATCCTCTACGTCTTGTGACATAACCCTCAGATAAAGAACTCATAAAGAGAAAACAAACATACAAAAAGAGTTACCTTTTACTATCACCATCAGCTTCCTTTGGTTTTGTCTCAGCTTTGGCACAGTCAAACACAAACGGCTCTCTATCAGAAAAAGGTGAATTGGAAAGTAACCTTTTTTTGCCCAAGTACAAAAAGTAAAAGGAGCAAATAGGCAATATTGAATTTGAGAGATTCTCAAATGTAATGCTAAAATATCAATGCTGAAGTCCTCTGATCTGATTATTATAAAGTTTCTTGTTATATTTAATAACACAATCATTCTGCAGTACTGATAATAGCACAGCTGATTGGTTTATGTATGGATTCTTAAAATAAAATAACACCACAAAGTCAAAATAATGAATTTAAAAATGTTTTATCATGACATTTTTACTATCCTATTTGAATTCAACCAAAAAGAAAAGATAAAAACTGTTTTATACATTCAAATGCAGTATAACAAAATGTGTATTTATCACAGATAGTTTGGCATTCATTTCAAGTCAACGTGTATCAAGCAAGCTGATTTAAAATTTAAGAAATAAACATAACAGTATGTAAACAGCAATGTATAGAGACCATAGTGCAATAGGATTCTGCAAAATGCACATGGGAACTTGGGAAATCCAAAATAAAGAGCTGGAAGCGAATAGACAGTTGACAGTCTAAAATACAGCTACTCACCTAGACTGTTTAAGGTTTACAGCAACTAAACTAGTAGAACAGCTTGAAACAAACCAGTCTGCCTTTGAACACACTACTGCCATGATGATTGTTTTCACGTGCGAACTGAGAGTCGCACATTTAATACGTCATTAATACTAACGTGCAGGAATCTGGCTTTACGACACCGCCATAAAGAGTGTACCGAGGAAGACACTTTCGCTACTAATAACACTTTTATTAAAAACGATTTATTAGTATTCTATTTCACTTAATATTTTACATTGTTAGGTGAAAAAATATATAACCTCGTTTGTAAAGGACATGATTACAATAACTGTATTGGTGTGGTTCATGAGGGGGCGTGTCTGTTATGCAAGGGCGCTTCTTTAGTGTGTTGTGCTTCAGTGCAACATTTCTTTTTACTTTGCTAAGATCTTTCTTGAGTTTAGTATCTGTTGTTCGTGAACATTTCATCAAACTGGAGCTTTGATTTAAAGATTTGTCACAGTCAGGTAACTTAAGGATTCAGTGGCACACAGACCTGCACAAAACACCATCTAGGTAATTTGATTTTTTTCTTTTTCTTGTAAATGATGTGCATAACAAACACTGATCACTGTCAATGTTAGCTATTGCATTTTCTGTGCAATCTGCTCTATATAAAAATACAGAACAGATCAGATTTTGAGCAAATTATGAAGTAACAATTTCTTTTTTTTTTATAAACAGCAGTTGCACGAACTTTAAATTGACGATGTTAAATATTTACAATCACACTTTGTCAACTGATTTATGCAGCTGTTTTTCTTCATAGGGTTTCTGCAGTAAAGATGGCAGCCTCTTTGCTCAGGGTCGGACGGCTCGGATCTCTCAGGGTAATCCACCGTTTTTTTCGACATTTATTATGAAATATGCATGCATATTATAGTGCATTTACATATGCGTATTATTTAAACGTGTGAAACTGCGTAGTCAGATTCCTCTTGTGAACACAAGCTAATGCTGCTCGAATGTTAAAGCACTGAAGCATTTAATCCACTCAGACCCGACGCATGAATCCCTTCTTTGTGCTGTATTTACATGCACGACATTATTTACATGAAAATATTCCTGTTATTAAATAAGTGCATTTACTCAGTGTGGGTCAGATTTTATGCATCAGAACCCTGCATCTAAAATAGTGTAAAATGTCGGAGTTTCAAATAATTGTTTAATGTTTCGTTTTTCTTTTGATTTTTTAATGTGCTTTCCCCCTATATTTTAGTTTTTAGAAAGTGTTCCTAAAATGCTGAAAATTATTTGTTTGAATATCTATTTGGAAAAACTGAAAGTGTTGGTCTTTCCTTGAGAACACTGTGTACTTTTTGCTGGTACATTTCTTTGAGACCACAGCAGACGATGTACAGTAGTATAAATAGAACTGCAGAAAGGTGGTTGTGATTATTCATAGGGATTTGCTGTGTTTTTTGAAGTCTGATGTTTTTGTGTGTCTCTTGTTGTTAGTGTCTGCAGACGGAGGTCTTGAGCTCTATCAGAAGAGCTCCTGCTGTAGCTTTCAGCTCCAAATCTGGGGACAGCAAGAAGTCCAAAAAGTCCAACAAAGGTAAATCTTTCTTCAATTTATGTCACAATAATTTTGTATATGTCATGTGCCATTCATTTGGGGGAGGAGGACTCTGTATTCAGATCTTGACACCATACATGGGAAAACTGAGGTTTGTGTGGTTCAGGGGACGTATCCTCTGACCTCAGCTCTTGTTTCTGAACCTGCTGGAGTGTGTTTTGTTCCTGTCTCTTACTGTGTCATGTAGGAGTAATACCATGCAAAGGTCCGTACCAAAGTCATTGCCAAAAGTGTTCAAACTCTTTGATGTTGACATAATATTAAGATTGTCATATTTTACTTCTGCACATTTTTCTAATTTAAAAAGTGCCCCTATTATGTCATTTTTAAGGTTGCTAATATTGTTTTATGAGTCTCCTATAACAGGTTTACATGCATGCAAGGTCAAAAAACACGTTAGTTTTCTCAAAAAAATAGATTTAATTTTACCTCATTTCTAAATTATTCGTAAACGACTCGTGCGAAGCAGTTCAAAGAATCAGTCTCTCTAAACCCCTCCTTTCCGTGAGCCCTCACTGCTGTGATTGGTCAGATGGCGCAGTCCTTTGTGATTGGTCCAGAGCCGTAGAGAGATCTGGCTCTGGATTGGTCTACCGCGTACAGCGCGTTTTGGAAACGAAAGGCCCATTGCTAGGGATGGGCGATACCACTTATTTTGTTTTCGATACGATACCGATTTTTTTCAAGGCAGTATCGTCGATATCGATACCGATTCGATACTTCTGAACTAAACTTTTAAATTACGAAATGTATTAAATTATTAAATTACTAAGAGTAAAATGGGTAATGATAAGCACTTAACTTTGTTTAAAACATACAAGTTTGTGGTAATTATAAGGTGTGATAAAACAAAGTTACTCTCACTCCGTAGGATACAGCGTCTTCTCGACATGATGTTAACCACACGGAAATCAAATTGCTACAATAAACAAACTTTACAATCAAATTTATTTGCACTCACTCACAAAACGTCTCGGGTTACTTATGTAATCATGGTTCCCTGAGTAGGGAACGAGACACTGCGTCCTCTAGGGAAAATCACTGACGCCCTGTCTGGATCACATCCCTTAGGTCTTTTACTCACGTTCCTTTGACCCGCGATACTTCCTACCCCTACCTGCGGGCGGGGGAGGTACAGTCACCTGATGCAACTCTAACAGGGTGATCAGGCCCCAAAAGCAAAGCCTGCTATTATGATTAATTAAATGCACAAAAAAAACAAAAAAACATTTCTAATAAATTTGTTATGGGAGAAGAAGAAGAGAGTGGTTAGCTATAAAGTTTAGACCTCAGTGATTGGACAATCATAATCAGGTATTTCAGACAGACAAGTAATAAGCTCTAATATTTAGTATAATAAGTTTGTATGGAATATAGATACAGAATATAATGTATTTGGAAAAGATATAGTTAAACTCTAATACAAAATAAAATGTGACTAATTAAAATATACAAGCTTTAACCCTCTACCGCACGCATTATGATAGACCTATAGAAAAAAATATTTGAATTCAAGTTTAGGATGTATTCCGGAATCCATTTTCCATTTTGTTACAGTTTACACTGTCAGCACAATGTATAGTGTTTGCAGACTTTTTGGCAATGACTGTATATGCAAAAGGAAAAGATGGTCCAGAATCTCCTAAAATCAATAACAGATCGATTTGTGGTGCCAGCATCTTTTAAGCACAAGCAGCACTTGTTTAGTACATAAATTATTCGATTTATAGAAGCTTGAACTGACATCAGACAATAAAAGGGTTTGACAGTGGTATTGAAATAGAAATTTGCGTAGGTCTATGAAACTTCAGTCAGTTTGTTGAGTATGTGAGCTTTGTGGTTAAACTAAAAATTTTATTTTAAGAAATAAATGTTATATTACCTATAAACCAACAGGCCCACATCTATATTGTTAATAAAGACACAAAGATGGTATGTTGATTATAATATAAATTGAACTCTTGGTCTTTTCTTTTTCTCTGTGGGCATTTTTAAACAAGTAAAACTGGTCGCATGGAGTTCTTAAAGATAACCTAATGACCTGTTATCCATAATTGTTGCTGTACAATGTTCCTCTGAGGTTAGAGGTGGCAGAGGGCTTGAGAAAGGGCTTGCCATGTGGTGTTGTACTGGCATATATGCTTAGTGCTATATGTGGATGTCCTAACTGCTTATATATGTCACCTTGACATTTGGAGTTAAAGAATGCACTGCATGAATGCGTTCATGAAGCCACTCCCTCTGTTCATTCAAGAGAATCTGGTGAAGCCAATAATCCAACAAGTGACTTCTTGTTGAAAATAAAAGCTGAACAAAACATGTTTTGTGCTGAACATTGCTACATAAATATGAAAATGCCTCTTAGAAATAACTCATTGTAAATAATTTTAATAATCATATTTATTATCAATATTAATAGTAATCATGATGATTATGTGCTGGTACCACAGTTTGATCATGTTTGACCACAAATTCAAATATATAGTGTGAACAGTTGTCATCTGATTCAGAACAGTTATTTGGTGCTACTTTAAAATAATGGTGATATGAAAATATATAGCCTTTTAGCTTCAATAACTAGAATTTTGGAATAATTATAATGAAATAATCTTTTGCATTTTAACTTGTATTTTCCAATGAAAATAAGGGTATTAACAGTACAATACTTTAATTTTTTTATGAAAATGGGGTTTACTGAATGTGAAATGTTTAGGTTACTTTTCCTGTCAGATGGCTTTTTTTAATTAGCCATAGTTCAAATCTGATGTGCACGAGTCAGGTTATAAGGTGTTCAAAGCTCCACTACCTCAGTGGATGCTCATCTAATTGTTGAAGAAATTGGGTAAGTTATTTTGCTGTATGAGTTTAGCGGTCTCCATTCAGCCTGATAATGCACATGATGAAGCAAATTATTACATTTCTATTTTTGCCCTCCTTCCCCCTCCATCCTAGAAAAAGCAGCACCAAAAACTTACTTCGATATAGAAAAACTTGTCCAGCACAGATCATATGTGGAATTCCCCAAGAAGGAGGTTGCAGCTTCGGTTGCTGCTGCCTCTACAGAAGCTGCATCTGTTGCTGCCCTTGCACCTGAACCAGTTGTAACTGCCACCGCGCCTGCAGCCGAAGCCGCTGCTCCCAGAGCTGAAGCCATTGCCCCCGCATTTGAAGCCATTCCTGTAGTTGAAGCCGCTGCCCCCGCAGTTGAAGCCGCTACCCCTGTAGTTGAAGCCACTCCTGTAGCTGAAGCCGCTGCCCCTGTAGTTGAAGCCACTCCTGTAGCTGAAGCCGCTGCCCCTGTAGTTGAAGCCACTCCTGTAGCTGAAGCCGCTGCCCCTGTAGTTGAAGCCACTCCTGTAGCTGAAGCCGCTGCCCCTGTAGCTGAAGTCGAGTTGAAGCCGCTGCCCCTGTAGCCGAAGCCGCTGCCACTGTAGTTGAAGCCGCTGCCCCTGTAGCTGAAGTCGGTGCCCTTGTAATTGAAGCCGCTGCCCCTGTAGTTGAAGCCACTCCTGTAGCTGAAGCCGCTGCCCCTGTAGCTGAAGCCGCTGCCCTTGTAGTTGAAGCCGCTGCTCCTGTAGTTGAAGCCATTGCCCCTGTAGTTGAAGCCGTTGCCCCTGTAGTTGAAGCCGCTGCCCCTGTAGCTGAAACCACTCCTGTAGTTGAAGACACTGCCCCTGTAGCTGAAGCCGCTGCCCCTGTAGTTGAAGCCACTCCTGTAGCTGAAGCCGCTGCTCCTGTAGTTGAAGCCACTTCTGTAGCTGAAGCCGCTGCCCCTGAAGTTGAAGCCACCCCTGCAGCTGAAGCCGCTGCCCCTGTAGTTGAAGCCACTCCTGTAGCTGAAGCTACTGCCCCTGAAGTTGAAGCCACACCTGCAGCTGAAGCCATTGAGCCTACACCTGAAGCCACAATTTGTCTTCCAAAAACCATTGCTGAAACTGCATCCCCTGCAGTTGAAGCTGCAGCTCCTGAAGCCCCTGCTGCACCAGCCTCTGAAGATGCACCTACAGAAGACGCCCCTGTCCAGGAAGCAGTTGCTGAGGTTGTAGAAGCTGTCAGTGAAGTAGTTGCAGAAGTTGTGGCGGAAGCTTCCCCAGTTGTAGAGGCTGTTGCTGAGGTAGTTGGAGAATCTGGCCCTATTGAGGCGGTTGCAGAGGCAGCTCCTGCTGAAGAGCTGATAGATCCTGCCCCTGTGATCTCAGATGCTACTGAAGTTCCAGCAGAAGTTGTGGAGACGCCTGAGGGTACTCACCATCCCCTATAACCCCCTTTCATATATTGGGATACAGCAAAATTTTGAAAGCAATTTTTTTCTCAATTTCGGTTACAGGTTTTATATATACAAATTTGTAATGCTAATGGTAAAGATATAATCACAATGCATTTTCTTACCCTTTCATTTATACAGTTAGTTACATTACAGTGTGTCATTAGCTTTTGTCATTGCATTGCATTGCCATGTGTTAGTTCATAGCATACATGCAAATGCATTTAGGGGTGAAACGGTTCATAAAAACAACAACAACAACAGTTTAGCATTGTGACGGGTCTCCTGCTATCCTGCTACGGCCAGCCAGTGGGTGTGGCAAGGAGCCCCATCAGTCAGGATTCATGTCACCTGTTCCTTCCTCTATAAAACTTTGTGTTACTGTGGATGTGTTGTTCCTTTGGTTCCCTCAGTTGTATTTGATGGGAGTGCAAAAAAAATAAAGGATTATGGTCAGTGTAGACCAGTGTTTCCCAACCGGGGTGCCGTCTGTCGAGAGCAGGGGTGCCGTGTAAAAAAATCATTTTTTAACATTTTTAAATTGCTAAAATGTTCAAAAAAGCATCTATTATATAATATCCATTTCTGATGTCGCCAATAATTAGAGATGCACCGAAATCGACAGGAAACATCGATGTAGTACAGTATTGTTTCTGTTTGCAATGGCCCTACTGTGTTTGGCCATTGCCAATTCAAAGTTTGAAATCAAGCTATCTCGTGCTACTGCACCAAAATTACCCCACTGTAAAATAAAAAAAAAACACTGAGTGAGCAAAAATTTGTGAGATAGCTAGTTATAATGGTAATTAAATAATGTTTACATATGTATAAAAGCCTACATTAAAATCTGTCATATAAATTGGTCTCTTCATTAGAAATTAGCCTACTGATTGCCACCATTGATGGACAAATTTTTTAAATAATATTAAAAATATCTGTATGACATTATATTCTGCAGTTCTTCCCTGTTGTACCGAATATACTTTTCAAATTATCATATCGAAGTTAGAAATTCAAATATTGTGACAAAATTAATTTTGTAGGGTGCCACAAGTTTGTTCAAATTTCCAAAGGGTGCCGCGACTAAAAAAAAGGTTGGGAAACACTGGTGTAGACCACTAAAGGTCCCTGCGATGACCCTACGTAGACCTCAAAGGGTTGCAGGGCCCAAATCAGAGTCAGTGCCTCCTTCTCCATTACTGAATAATTAAGCTGGAAAGAATTGAACATCCTAGAGAAGAACCCCACTGGACGATCAATGCCCTCTTCAGATCTCTGCAACAAGACCGTACCAGCACCCACATTACTGGCATCCATCTGCAATTGGAAAGGGTGGTCAAATTTTGGGGAGGATAATACAGGTGCCTCCGTAAGCAGCATTTTTATTTTCTCAAATGCCTGCTGACAAACAGAAGTCCAACAAAAATCTACTCCTCCCTGCAACAAATTAGTAAGGGGCATTGCAACAGTAGAAAAAATTCTACAAAAACAATGATAAAATCCAGCCATGCCCAAAAATCGCTCAAAAAAACTCTTTTTTTGGTAGTGGGCATAGGATACTTATCTATAGCTTCCACCTTAGTGCGGATGGGATGCACTTTACATTGACCAGCCACCTTCCCAAGATACTGTAAGTAACCGTAGCTTTTGCGAACTCACATTTTAATAAATTGACTGTCAAATTGGCTTTAAAAACGATCAAAAAGGTCTTGAATATGAAGCAAGTGTTCCTCCCAAGTATGACTGAAAACAACAACATCATCTAAAAACACTGCGCAACCCTGTAAGCCAGATATAACCTTTCAGTAATCAGTACAAAATCTGAATTCACTAACAAGGATGGAGATGCCCTACTAGAAAAAGATGGCACAGCAATATCATTCTTCAGCATGTAATCGATTTCATTATCTAACAGTTTTTCTTATTCGCCGACACTCGATAATAACGCTGACGAATTGGGGCTGAATCTCCAACGTCAATGTTATGTTCGATAAAATTTTTGCTAGAGGGAGTATCTGGAAATAATGCATTATATTCTTTAATTATATTAGTCAAATCAGTATGATGTGTGTCGGTTAAATAATTGAGTTGAGAATTTAATGCTTCAGACTTCCGCAACCACCCATGATGAATAGAATCCCCAGGATCGATTTCTTCTACCTCCCCACCAACAACAACAGAGTTTGACTCAACACTGTAATCAACAACAGAAGGACTTGACAAAAGAACAGGTTTAATATTTGCGTCAGCCACATCCACATTTACAGTATCAATGTGATCTTTACAAGCATAAGCAAGGTTTTAACAAATTTATGTGGCACACTCTCGTCTTCTTTTTTTGGTCTGGAGTATTAATCAAATAATTAAGATTAGAAATCTGATGAGCAATGGTATATGGTCCCACGAACTTGGCCTGAAATGGTGATCCAGCAATGGGCAGCAATGTGAGTGCCTGGTCACCCTCTTGGAAAGAACGTCTTTCTGTATGACGGTCAAAAAGACATTTCATTTGTTCCTGTGCTTTACTAAAACATGCATTTGCCAGTTGACAGGCTTCAAAAATTGTTCGACGAAAATTACTAACATATGTCAAGACGTTCTTAGGGGGGTCCGAATTTTCCCAATCTGCTGCCAAATCAGCCAAAGGGCTATGTACATCGTGACCAAAAACCAATCACTTGGACTGAAGCCGGTACTTTCTTGGGCAGCTTCCTGAGCTGCCATCAATAACCAAGGCAAGCCAGTCTCCCAGTCCCTTGCCATTTGAGTACAATAAGATTTAGTAAAGACTTTAAAGTTTGATGAAATTTCTCCAGAGCTCCTTGGCTCTGGGCATGATAAGCACTGGAGAGATTGTTTAAAAGGGTCATATGATGCAATTTCAATTTTTCCTTTCTCTTTGGAGTGTTACAAGCTCTTTGGTGCATAAAGAAAATCTGTAAAGTTGCAAAGACTAAAGTCTCAAATCCAAAGAGATTCAAATCACAACACACGGGATAGCTGGCCAATCAGAGCACACCTCGCTTTTCAGTCCGATGAGCTTTGTAAAAATCAATGCGTTTCAAAAAGGCGGGGCATAGCGGAGAAACAATAATGTACAGTATGTGGAAAATGTGTTTTTTTAACCTTAAACCCCATAAACACCAAATACACAAAATAATGTTCTTTTTAGCAACATCAAAATGCAGAGTTTTTTCAACACTTGACTAAACAAATTAGAAGTAAAATTACTTCCTTGATTGGACTGAACAATTCGAGTTATTCCATACACCGATATGAACTGAGTGAGCGCTTTCACAGCAGACTTTGATGTTATAGAAAGCAAGGGGTATGCAACAGGATAACAAGTTATGTGACACATCACCATAAGCAAATATCCACTGCCAGCTTGTGATTTTGGTAAAGGCCCAACACAGTCCAGAATAAGAATAAGGGCTGACTTACTGCAGGAATTGGATACAGAGGTGCCGGTTCTGATGACTGATTAGGCTTCAACGTAAGTTGACACGTATGACAAGACTTAATGTAAGCAGACACGTCAAAAAAAAAAATTTAAACAATAAATTTTACATCTTTTTGACTCCCAAATGACCAGCTTTATCGTGCACTGTCTGTAACACAAGCTTCCGGAGACTTTGTGGTATTACAATTTGTACAATCGGCTCACCAACTGCAAATTGTCCATGCCAAATTGTACCCATTTCCGAACTAACAACCCTTCCTCTAGGTAATACCCAGAAGAAAGATTAACTATAATGTCATGAGAAACCACTCGATCAAAAAATCAGAGTCAGATTTCTGTTCCATTATCAAATCATCATGTGATACAGACAAAATGGAAGGGATTTTTAAACTTTTACTCACCATGTTCTTAGACTCGGATTTATCATCAACTTGCACTTTACTCATAGCCCGCGTCACAACACGACGACAACTCTTACAGAAGACGCAAAATTGTCCTCGGCTCCTTTTTCTAGCAACATTGGAGAAGGAGTAACCTCCAGATATGGTGAATCGTCTCGCCAGACTCATTCTCCGGCTAAATCGTTTCCTAGAATTACATGTACTTCGTCCACCAGCAAGCAGGAACACACCCCAACTTCCACCCAGGACTAAATCAGACTGTAAAAAGACTTTATGAAAGTGAACAGACAGAACATTCAATCCAATGTCCCTAATCAACACACTACTTCCAGTGTAGGACTGAGAAGAAAAAGGCAGTACAGATTCTAAAACAAAAGTTTCAGATGAGCCTGTATCGCGTAGGGTCTTTACTGGCACTTTATTGGCAGATCCAATCAAACTGACAAAACCGTCTGTAACAAATGTTTTCCTGCATATTCAATGACAGCGGGGCAGACACGGCTAAAGATTTCACTTCAGTAAATTTTCACTAAATTTCACTTTTGAAGTGTCTCCTTTTGCTTTTAACAGGGGACATTTGTATTTCCAATGACCAAGTGCATAGCAATAATTGCACGTTATCCTTGTATTTATCCCCAAACGAATTCCGTGAGTGCTCACCAGCTGAATCGTTTAACACTTTGGTAAACTTACGCCATGGCTCCTTCCAAACGGCTCCTTTAGGTCTTTTTCTCCATAGGTCTTGTAACCAAAAGAAGTCTTGTGAATCAACGTAAACTCGTCAGCTAAAACAGCAGCCTCATATGCAGTGGCAGGTTTACGTTCACTTGTGAATGTTGCAACACGATCTGAAATAGAGTTTTTAAATTGTTTGAGCACTAATAAATCTTTTAAATCGTCCAGTGTGTTTACATTAGGAGCCGTACACAAGCGAATAAAATACATCGAAATATCACTCGCAAATTTAACATGCGTCTGTTTTTCAGTTTTTTTTTTCCCAAGACCTAAACTTTTGTCTGTAGGCCTCTGGAACCAATTCGTAAACTTTTAATACTGCAGTCTTAACAGTCCCGTGATCAGCTGCATCCCCCAAACTAAGAGAGGAATATGCTT